GATCTTCTACCGCATTTGTGGCCCTATGACGTCCTTGGCCTTGACGTCTGGAATATCCATGAGTTTCACGAAAACGTTGGAACACCCTACTCCAAGGATTTCAGAAACTCTTACTTGAGTATGTCCTTCGCGAAGAAGAAGTACCACAGATTGAACTTCCGCATCCGTTAAATGCCTTGTATCCCGTCTGTTTAAATTTGCCATTACTTTAAATATCGTTTTACAATACAGTTATTATGAAATTCGCATATAAAGTGTGACTGAACTGATTTGTTATTTTTAATAGAATGGTAAATGTAAAACATATCTTCATAAAAAAATATTCAAAAGAAATGATTTACTTTTTAGAGCAAAAAACACTTCAAAACACTTGTATATTATAAGAAAGCGAGTTTGTTTTTTGTAATTATTATTTTAGATGGATAAATTGTGCTATGCGATAATTGTTTTGAGTAGTGTATTAATTTCTAACGTTAAAACTTTTTTTAATGCCCACCCACTATTTTCTTCTGCAAATTCTTCGAGTTTGTTTAAAATTATATCTATAACATTATTAAAAATCAATTTTTAAAATTTACACCATTATCTATATCAATATTTTTTGTATTAAAATACTTTATTTCTTCAATTTCATCATTTTGACTAATTTTTAAAAATTCACCCCCAAAAGATGTATTTACTTTTAATAGTGGTATGGATTTTAAAATATTTTTATCCTAGATTGAAATAAATAAAATGCGTCATTTAAAAAAGTAAGGGGGTCTAAATGTTTAATGTTAATAATAATACCTGTGCGAACTTGACTTTTAAATGCTGTTGTTAAATCCTGTCATTTAATTCTATCACTACGTTTAGTCTTTAATGTGCCACCACCGACATGTTTTACAAATAAATTATTTATAAGTAGTTGATATCGCTTTAACTGACCAATTGATGCTATTAATTTTCTTTTAGTATACAAATACAAATGTGCTCTTTTAGTTCCACCCTTACTTCTTAAGAAGTCCCATAAGCCAACTGAATGGCTTGTGCGGGTTAGGGGTAGGAACGGACCGCGGGCTTAAAGTCCCCTCCGAAGGACTATTACACAATAGAACAACACAAATAAACAGCCATACCCCTGGTGGGATTCGAACCCACGACCTCCGGCTTGTAGTCAGCAGCACTAACCACTAGACCACCGTCGGAGTACCTATTGATGTTGATTTTTTTTCATTAAATTTTGTGAGAGTCTTATATTTTTTTAAATTAAATTTAACCAAACCTTACTAGAATGTGGACATCAATTTGCACTTAATATCTTAAAGGCATTTGAAATTAAATTAAAAGAATCAGTACTCACATGAGCTATTCCTTCATCCATTTTTAAATTGATTTTATTTCAAATACGGGTGAAGGGTTCAGCTTGTTGTTGGTGAATTCCTTCAGCCCTATATATACCAGACCAAATTTCCCAGCGTTCAGCTCTTGTATATTTTCTCCCACCACCTCCGTCATTCTTTTTGGCAAGAACACCACAAACTCTTCAAACTCCACTAAAGGAATCTCGCCATACTTCCCCTTTTCTATTTTAATAGCTTTTATGGGGTATAGGTACCCCACATAAAGCTCTTCAGCTTTTTTAATTATTTTATCTTCAACTGCAGCTACTTCATTGATTTTCTTTAAAAAAGACATGCTGAAATTATAAAATAAAACTAATACAATTGAATAAAATAAACTATTAACTTTAATAAACTTACCTAATTAGTTATATGAGCACAAAAAATAATTTGTTAGAAATAGATGTCTTTCAATCTGTTCAACTGGTAATGCTAATAGTTCCAAATGCACAGCGTTTTATAGCAATTCCGTAGGTACGTCATATCGAATGTTCTTTAGCAAGGTTAAAAAAAGAGAGACAGAGGGGAAGGCCCCTTGTGCCGTGGACATTGGTGCCGGAGGCGACACAAAGCCACCTCCAACCCCGATACCCACGACACAACCCTCAAGCCCTTGCCTACCACTCTGTCTCCCCAGTTCGCTTTCCTGCCGCTTGGCTGTTTTGTGCTTTATTTATTTATTTGTACATGTTTGTTAGTTTACAATTGTTTAGTTAACGCGCCCTTGGGCTGTGATACATTTTAGCTTAGTACTATGTTAGTGTATTTTTAAGTTTTATATGGTAGATGATGCGAAATTTAGGGATGCAGGCATATAAGCCTAAAAATAATTAAGGTGGGACTGGGGAAATAAAATATGGGAGTCAATGGCACCCGGAAGCAGTAGCAACAGACCAGCCCGAAGTCACTGCCTGGGCCCCCTTTTCAACGACGCCCTGTCGGGCTACAGATTACCTATTACCTCTGTGGTGACCAGAAAAATTTTATTAAATTTAAAATATGTCATTGCATAAATATTTGGTATAGACCGAGGTCTGGTTTTACTTATACTAAGACTTAACTAACTGAGAACTTATATAGAGAGTACCGTATAAGAGCCATATCATTTCAAAGCCAGAGTGGGCAGTTTAACCTCATACCTAGGAGGACGGTAATGAACAGTGAGCAATTACTAATAGTGCCATGAACAAATTCATCCTAGAGCCAGATAGGTGAAATTAATCTCGTACCCAGAAGGGCGGAGGTGTGGTGCGAATTGTTTGAAAGTGCTAAAGAAAAAGCAAAGTCATTTTAGAGCCAGAGCAGGCAGTTTAACCTCATGCCTAGGACAGTAAAGTAGGTGCGATTTTACTTATAGAGATTACCAAGTACAAGAAGGATTGTCGTAAAGCCAGAAAAGATTGGGCAGTTTGACCTCATACCCAGGAGGGTGGTAGTGTTATGCAATTACTTATAGAGATTACCAAGTACAAGCAGGATTGTCGTAAAGCCAGAAAAGATTGGGCAGTTTGACCTCATACCCAGGAGGGCGGTAGTGTTATGCATTTAATCAGGGAGTACCGTAGACAAAGCAGAGTCGTTATAGATCCAGACACATAGAGGGCAGTTTAACCTTATGCCAAGGAGGGACGGTACAATTGCTGCGAGGGGAACCTTTGGGCAGAGGACCCCTCGAGATTTAAACGACTCTTAGCCGTGTCCATGAAAACATGCTGCCCAAGCACGACACTTGGACACGTTGCCCGCCGGGAGCCCGCTAGAAGGGGGTCGTAACTTCTCAGTCCTCCCGGCTTAGCAAGGTTAAAAAAGAATAGGATGTTATATGATAAGAATCAACTTGTAACAACTTGTTATCAACTCCAACAAAAAACAACATCCATGGTCTGACGCATTACTTCTAGAAATTTCTATTAAGATAATTGCGTAATTTCCGTTAATTAAAAATAGAGTGTTTAATAAACACTCTATTTTTAATTAACGCAGTAAAAGTTACCAACGTGGTTTGCTAGATAAAAATTGCATATAAAATTAAATAAATGCATCAGTTTGTTTTAAAATGTCGGTGTCAGAGTTGTCTACAATTATTAACCGCTATACCCCACCAGCGGACCCGGAAAGATATTTCCTTGAAAAGAAAGTTTATTTTGCATATTTTTATATATATTTTATTTACCTTTATGTTTTTGGAAATATAACCCCGCCGTCGCCTGCCCTCATCCCCTTAAAGCAGTAATTTGTATTTAATGTTTAATACTGTGATGGGCACGGGGTGGGGGTACCCCATACTCATGCAAACGGCAGTAACCCAAGGCGATTTGAAGAATCGCGCGAACTAAATTTAAATATTGACAGCGCAAGCAGTGTTGTCAAGTTTGGCCAAAAGGAGTGATCGTCTAGAAAATTGAAAGAGGATACCCTACGTTGTGTTATTTTAGTTCGCTTCTAGATAGGTGGAGTAGCCAATGAGAGGAGACCAGATTAGGTAATAAAACACAATAAGTATGGTTGTATGATTTCTCTATTCATTGTTTGTTTACAATGGAGTTTTTTACAAAGGTTTGGTTAACGGTAGTTAGCGTTTTATGTATTGCAGTGTTTATTGAATATTGGTTTTTAAGTTAGCGTTTGTTATTTGGACTTTGTCATACCAAGCGTTAATAAAGCAGATTTATAAAATGTTACCAGTACAATTTACCCCGCCCAACAATACAACAGGTTATAAAATGAATATTATTGGATGCAAACCGTTTTGTCTAGTGTATTGAAACCTTTTATAGCTATCTAAACATATTCCGCTACAGTGTACATAATAAATGCATAGTTTCCATATTACATATCACAGTATGACCCCTTTGGCGGTAAGGAAATCTATTGGCGAGCTCTAGTCTTGTGAAGAGATTAGATTAGATTAGATTACCTTATTTAATAATAATAATACCTCCTATAACCCTCTTCCCTATCGCGAGCAGGCACAATACATTAGACAAGCATTTTTCACGCCCGTCCGCCATCTTACGGAGCAAAGAGACGCGTAACGTACTCTCGGCTAAATATCCCCAAAACACAACAAATCTACATTATTAAACTTGGTTAAAATATACAACCACCTTAGTTAGTTAATTTAAACAAGGTAAAGGATCATTTTAACTTACCTACAAGGTTTATTTCACAACACGAAAACCCCCGATTCACTCGGGCGACCCTTTTCCTTCACCTGTTGCTTTCCTTCTGCCGCTCAGTCAGTTTTTGATCCCCACCCAACCTACCGCGACAGGGTCGGCTTTAGCGCGCTCGGTTAAACAGGACCCCATTTGAAATATTCATAAAATACCAAACCGTACAACCCAAGTAATTAAACGTTATATAATTCAAGTATTTTTAAGAAAGGGCAACGCTGCAATATTTTAAAAAACTTAACATTAATTTAAATGTCTAATTTCGAATAGGTAGGATGCTTTACGTGTAGATGTATTCTTGGTTGCGTTTTTCTCGTTAGACGGAGGGCGGGTCAACACAATACTCATTTTTTAATTTTATATTTTTTCTACAGAGCAATTAATTGGGCTTATAGAAGGGAATGTGAGGAATGTGGTAATCTGTTTTGTTATTGTTTTGTAGGTACATCGAAAGAAATAAGGTAATTTTATTTATTATTTATTATGTTGTGTAAAATTAATTAATAATATTTTTTCTTTATAGTGGGAGCATAGGTGAGGAGACTATGAAGCAATACATGGTTGACTTTCCGTGTGATGATGATGAGGTTATTGATCTTACCACCCCATCATTAATTTGCAATTCTCCAATGCCTCCTGCCACCCCCCAGACAGGTGTAAAGTAAGTAGTTTATTATTTATACTAATTTTAATGTTTCTAATATTTTTTTTTGTTCACGAAGGCTGACGAAGGCGCAGCAGCAGCAGCAGCAGCAGCCTCCACCATCGTGGGTCCTTGAAAATTTCCAACCACCCACATCATCTGGGAGGTTTGTTTACAAGGACCCCTCAAGTTACGATTTGTTTATAATAAAACAATAAAAAAATTACTACCCCCCTTTAAGATATATACTAATTACAAAGTGTGAATATGGTTAGTTACCTTAGTTACTTTCATTAAATATCATCATGAGTTTTTCAGTTGTTAATTTTTTATTATTATCAACACTTATCAACATATATATACATATATATATATATATATATATATATATATATATATATTGCGATTAGTCCAAAATCGGGCTTTTTTAATCTGAAATATGTCAAAACTTAAAATCTAACATTTTCAGAAAACATTTTTTTCATTTTGTTGTAATAAGTAATTTAAATTTCAATGAAATTATTTCATCAGTAGCACTTTATTAGTTTTTTTTATTTTCTTATATACAAAATATTAATAAAATATAATAATAACATAACTATTATAACACAGTGCATCAATTTGGGGGCTTTGAAAAATGGACGCAATTTTGCATAGCACATTCGAAAGTATACATTAAGATAAGAAAAACCCTAGCTCTGTTTTGCGATATTAGCTCGCATTTTTATTTTATGGCTCTATAAAGTTTTACAAAATTTGTGAATTGAAGTGCTCAGTTTTTGGCTAATTACTCGGCAACTATTGAAGATAGCGACATACTTTTTTTAGCAAAATTTTAGCTAAGAGTGCCAGCAACAAATTTTATTAACATATTATGCCTCAAAATTACATCTAAATAGAGTTTTTGAGCAAAATATCGTAAATAGTCAATTTTTATTACTTTTTCGAACACAAGTCGCAATGTATTCTACTTTTTTGCTAAATTTATGTGGGAAAATTATAGTTTATGTAAAAATAAACAATTTTTGTGAACTTATTAACCCGAAAAAAACTTACCTGATGTGTATCTTTTGAAGCCAAAATCAAGAAAATGAAAAAAATTAAGTAAACGAAAAATATATATTAAGGTCGTGCTTTCTTGGCTGCAGGCTTAACAACATCAGAATCTTCATCGTCCGAAGCAACAAATTCTTCTATAATTCTTTCCGTTTCCTCTTCATCTTTTTCGTTTTTTTTACTGTCACGGTCAAACCTGCGCTTGCTCCACCAACAAATCTCAGCGAGAATAGCATCTGGTGCTTTCTTTCCTCTGTACCTAAACGGAATAACAATTGTAAATGAACTAAGAAATAAAATAATAAAAATCTACCTTATTTCGAATGGAATTGCAGTTTGATGATAGCGTTCTTCCTGCTCATCTGATTCGGTTGGCAATTGACGGCTAAAGTTTTGCAAGTAATGATGCAAATAGTGTATTTTAAGTGACATATGTACACCAATGGTTGAAAATGCATTTAGCATACTCCGCACTGATTCTGCATAATTTTTAGAACGATGTTTGCCCAAAAATCCAGTTATAACATGCTTTATGAAATACCATGCAACTAATTTATCGCCCACTAAAACCACTTCAAATCGTTCATTTTTCATTAACCTCCATGCTTTAACTTGTTGACACTAATTCCGGTAAATATTTCGCTTAAGCATATTAAAACGTCCTCTCTTTTTGCTACAGCTGTTAAGAAGTTTTTCACGATTCCAAGTTTAATATGAAGAAATGGCATTAATATCTTTTCAGGTGCTACAAGCGCTTCGCGTACAACATTACAATTTTTAAATTCGCTGTCCTTCCTATCTTTCCAATCGTTCTTTGCGTATTGGTCACCAGTGTATCTCGTATTGCAATCACACAAGAAGCACATGAATTTCGTGTAGCCAGCTTGCAATCCAGAGAGTATAGCAACAACTTTTAAATCGCAAAAAATTCTCCACTGATATCATCGATGTTGCTTATACTGGACCAGTTCCAAAATGTACTTCATTTTATCATACGTTTCTTTTGTGTCCGTACTGTAGGCGTTTGGGATTGAAGGTTTTTCGTTTAATTTATGCAACAGCACGGCTTTCAAACTATTTTTAGAACTGTCTATAAACAGGCGCCAATCATCTTTTTCGTAAATAATATCCATAGCCTTCATTAGCTTCCCGACGTCTTCACAATACGCGAACGTTTTTTCAGTGAAAAATTGTTGCATTTCTTTGTTTCGGTTTCGGTTCGGATATATATATATATATATATATATATATATATATATATATATACATATTGTCGACTGTAAATGGGTGTTTACAATAAAAGGCGATCGTAACCAAAATTAAATAAAATATAAAGCTCGTTTATAGCGCGGGTTTAAATATTTATATGAGGGTACCTGACGGTCAGTGGCGGATTAAATGTCGAGAGCGCCCTAGGCAAGCACCTCATCGTCGCCCCTTTAGCGGCCATATATTATAAATTTTAACTAGTACTTACATAATAATTAGCTGTGCCCTGCGGTTTCACCCGAAACCAAGTTTTATCACAATCGGTTTAGTAGTTTTTGCACGAAGAAGTAACACACACACTTTCGCAGTTATAATATTATCAGGGTAAGTACACGTGTCCTGGCGTATACTTATAATTAGGTTTAGGCGTGTACTTACCCTTAGGCGTGAATGAAATATGTGATATACATTTCTATAGAATTAACTTTTTCTTTACATGTTAATTTTAATGTTATGTTAATTAGGAATACCGATACAGACGGCCAGTCGAGTAAATGTGCTCTCGAATTCGATCGCTCTTAAGTGTACCTAATAATAATTTTTAACGAAACATAAAAATCGCTTATATACAGTGTAGTTTAAGAAAAATAATGGGCAGTTTACTACTTGGACAACGAAAATCAGTTTACCAGTTGTCCAAAGTCTTAATTGAAACATTAAATTAGTGCATTATAAAGCAACCCCAACAAGTGAATATAGTGAATAAAGACCATACGGACACGGAAGTAATTATGTGATAAATCACCTTATGTAAGGAACAAACTAGCCTAGAGTCGAAGTAAAAATCTGAAGTACCAATTAAACGCATGACCTAATACGCATATTCGCAACAAAACCTAACAATAATCAATCATTATTACTGAAAACAGCGTAACAGTGTAAATTATACAATCATTAGGTAAGAACGTCACAAAAAATAAATAAGCATAAACTTAAGAAGCCAGCCCCAACAAAATTAAAATGTTTAAAACCAAACGAACGAAAATAAAATAAACAACCAGTTCCGATATTTGCCTAACATAAACATAAACATTCAATTTTCTTAGTTTCTTTAAGAAACTTTCTTGACCCATCACTGGTAATATTCATAAGAATATAAGAAAAAATTGAACCTACACCTCGCCAAAGTTTTTTGTTTTGAATGCGTTCCACCAACTTCAAATACCGACAGACAGCTGTTTCGACCTTTATTGGGTCTCATCAGTGTCGGGCAACTTAGTGTAGTGGAACACAATCAAAACAAATTACTCCCTCAGCTTATATGCTCGGTTGTTAAGTCAACAGAGGCGAGATGTAAGAACATCAGGTGATCCACACCGTCAAACGACGTGGCGATTGCAGCAAAGGCCACGTCGTTTGACGGTGTGGATCACCTGATGTTCTTACATCTCGCCTCTGTTGACTTAACAACCGAGCATATAAGCTGAGGGAGTAATTTGTTTTGATTGTGTTCCACTACACTAAGTTGCCCGACACTGATGAGACCCAATAAAGGTCGAAACAGCTGTCTGTCGGTATTTGAAGTTGGTGGAACGCATTCAAAACAAAAAACTTTGGCGAGGTGTAGGTTCAATTTTTTCTTATAAACATAAACCACTAAACACCTCTAAATTTTAGGCATTGCATGCTTCTAGCTGTATAAGAGAATTAAAAAAAGCAAAGTTAAGACCAATTATATAGAATAAATATTATAAATGTAACTTCTAATGGTTAGAAAAGAAAAAGAAAACGTTAATTCAATTTCTACCACAAAATGAAGACAACTATCTATCGATAGTTCTCGACCCCTACACTGAGGAAACGGTTTTCGCACAGTGGGGCAAACAATTGAAGACTTTCTTTCAAAAACCGCACATGTCACAAAATGCCCAAATCGAGCTTAATGCGCCATCTAGTATCTAGTATCCTGAAAAATGCAGAGTTTGGACATGTGTCTTTTTTGAAAAAATGTCTTCAATTGCTAACAACACTTTCCGAATTTCAGCAGACTACAAGACCAGCAAACTAACCAATCAAACCTCATTCATGAACCCCAAATAAATGGGGACATTACTAAATCCCTGGTTGAGGAGGATTCCGGATTGTACTTAGTTTTGGGTCAGTCCAATGTCACCCAAAAACCAAAATGTTTTCCCTCCTTGTCCCGTACTTCACTAGCCTAAATCGGGCGTATAGACCAGCCCGACGAAAAAATTCCGGGAGTGGTCTTAACCATCGACACTGTCATCCACGACCTCCTAGGCGTTGCTAATGGGGCCTGCCATACTTTCCTTATACTCATACTCATACTCAATTTTAATTTTATGTTAATTATTTTCTTCGTTACGTGCGCGCCCCTAGGCACGTGCCTAGTTTGCCTTAGGAATAATCCGCCTCTGTCAGTGACGGTATTGTAACTAGTTAAATCAAGTAATTTAGTATGTAAATTAAATAAATCTTTGTACGGTTTGAAGCAATCAGCTTGGTGCTGGTATGAATGCTTTAATAACGTATTAAATTAAAAAATTATTTGTGAACTCATCAGCAGATAATTGTTTATATTTCTTAAACAGAGGCGATGTAAATAAAAGATGTAGGTACTTGTATATGTAGATAATGTGGTTGTCACAACTAAGGATAAAATACAATTAATGATTTTAAAACATTTTTAATGAAACAATTTCTTTTAATAGTAAATTAAAGAACTAATGTTATAAGACGTCATTTTGTCGCACGAGGACAATTCATAAAACGAGCGACAAAGGAGCGAGTTTTGTAATGGACGAGTGCGACAAAAGGTCTTATGACATGAGTTCTTTATGCTATTTTATCTATTTTGCAAAAATTCTATAAAAAAAATTAATTTTATACCTTATATATTTAATGTGGTCGAATTTTACTTTAGATAGTTGGTCATTGGTTTGAAGGGTTAATATCAAAATCGATTCGCCATGGCGTCCTTAATTTACTTATTTAGAATAAACGGCTGTTAATGTTAAAGAAGAAAAAAAGAACTTTATTTGGTGTTAAACAAAATTTATTGCCAGAAAAGTCTGGTAAGTACCAGAAAAATCATAAAAATAGTATAACCAATATGCAAAATATTATTTTACTAGTAGCCAACCTATAAAATTAAAATTTTGGGTGGGGTAAACTACCTCATTACAGCACCGAAAGCGGTGTTACAATGAAGTCATTATGAACGCAAAATAGATAAAAGAAATTAATTACTTTCTAGGTATAAGAATAAATCAAATTCTAAAATTTCACTTGATCACTTTTACAAAAATTAAATATGAATGTATGTAACCCCGTCAGCATCCCATGGCCTGTAAAATTAAACTATACCGCATTAAATTTAGAAGATAGTTATGATGCACCTTGTCGAAATCTAATTGGCTGCCTAATGTACGGTTTGCGATGTACACGTCTGGATTTATGTACAGCGGTAAATCTGGTAAGCAGATATCAAACAAAATGCAATTAAGAACTATGGTTATGTCTAATAAGATATGTTAAAGGATCGATAAATATGAAATTGGTATATAAGCGTATTGAAAATGACGTCATTAATAAGATAAGGGTGGACAAAGTTGGCAATTCCCCATTTTCTGACTTGACAATGTAAGATATTGCCAAAAACAATCTTCTGTTTTCCAGAGACATAATACCAGATTCTACGTGAAGACTATGATTGGGTGTTGTCGGAAAAGCTCCTACAGCATATCGTATTTCCAGATTGTGTAACACATTAAGTGGTTGTAATGTGGACTTTGGAGCGGACCCATATACAACAGATACGTAGTCCAGCTTGGAGATAACCAGTGATTTAAACAAGGTAAGTAAAGAATCTCTATGTGCTCCCCATTTAGTATGGGCAAGACACTTGATCAAGTTAAGGGCTTTTAAGACTTTTACCTTTAAATAGTCCATATGGTTTTTCCAGGCAAGACGTATTACTGAGAGGTATTATTGTTATTATTATTATTTTTTTTTATTATGTGCGTCGACTGCTGCGGCCATAACCAGAAAGGAAAATCCTCATGGACACCCTAACATTACGCTGGGTAGTGCCGGACTCTTATCAGCTAAAAACCTCTCCTTACTACATTTAACAAAAAGATCAATAAATAAACAGGTAAGCATTTCTTTTAGTTGGACGTTGACAGTGTGGTATTTATCCCCAAAACCTGGCCAAAAACTGTTTTTTTATATATCATATACGTGCCCTCTATTGTTATTTAGAGTTTGTTTATATGATTGATTGTACTCAGCTAGGTGTGAACTTTATTTAATTCTATTTTTTTTAATAGATATGCACATTTTTCTTATTTACGGTCTACATCAGAGATGCAATGAACTGTTGAATATATAACAAATTTTTATATTCACAAGGTGTTTTGATGTATTTCTAAACATTGTGGAATATAAAGTACTTAGTATTAAAGACATATTTTAAAAAATTAGCCGACCGAAACCGCCCCTCTGTTTTTAAATGATTTTGTACAAGCTTTTATTTATTATTTATTTAACTTGCAATGTTTGTATGTTTGTTTGTTTAGGTCAAATCTTACAACTGAATTTCCTCCCAATTGAATACACCTTAAGTTCGGGTGACAATACAATATGCAATACTCAATATTTTAATATTTCAAAACGGCCGCCGCCACAAGATGGCGGATCATGTCCTTTTTATCAACCCCCTTAGGGGTATTAAATAAAAGAGCTTAAAGAATAGAACACGATAAAACGCCATTTCAAACTTGCCGCCGCCTCAAGATGGCTGTTGATGTATTTTTTTGGCAACCACCTTAATCTGATTATGAAATAAAAAAGCTTAAAGAATTGAAAACGATAAAGTGAGTGACTTATCAATAATAAATGCAATATGACCGTATATATAAAATGTCGCCGTGAGCAGTAGGTACCAGGTGATTGTATCTATGCGGAGTAGGTACCGAACGATTGTACTTGTGTGCAGTAGTAACCAGATGATATATATGATATAGATTAAACTATACGCGACTTGCAACATGGATGTCCTAAAAGGCTTTTTTTAACTTCTGACCCCCTAATAACAGGCATGAGAAGCATCTCAAATAAAAAAAGAAGCCATTATCGTCTAATGTTTTAAATTTATTATCAGAAAGTGAAATAACAAATGTAAATATTAGTGAAGATAGTATTAGTGGTAAATAAATTATTTGTTATCCAAATAAGTCTTTGTTTTACCATTTTTTATTATACAGTCCTAGTAAAACGTAATTATGTAGTAGTTGAGTTAAGGGCTTTTAAGACTTTTTTCTTTAAATAGTCCATATTCTTTTTCCAGGCAAGACGTTCATCCCAAATGAGCCCAAGGTATTTTAATTCTTCCACAAAATTTAAGAGGTTAGAATTTAGAGTTAGGAATGGACGGTAATGGCGAGTCCTCAAGTGGCAAAAATGCATAGTTTTTGATTCGGTGGGGGAGAACTTAAAACTTCTACCTTCGCCCGCTCGTATAATCTGATCTATTGCCATTTGCATTTGTCTATTTATATTTGATTTTATAGGACGATAAATAAAAATCATAATATTATCGACGTACACACTGCGCTTAATGTTAATACTTAGATTATCACAGATTTTATTTAAAGCAATGAAAAAAAGAGTAACGCTCAGGGTAAAACCTTTTGGCACTCCATTTTCCAGAAGGCAACGAACTGAACAGACACTTCCAAGACGAACACGAAAACGAAAAAATCTTTCCTTTAGAAAGGACAACAAATAAAGGTAAGTTTCCACTATACCCCCACTGGTGAAGGTATTGTAGGATCCCCAATTTCCACGTCATGTCGTAGGCCTTCTCTATGTCAAAGAAGGCGGCTGTCAGGTGGTGTCTTTTAGCAAAGGCTGTCTGAATATTCTGTTAAAACCTTTTGGCACTTCTTTTTCCAGAAGGCAACGAACTGAACAGACACTTCCAAGACGAACACGAAAAAATCTTTCCTTTAGAAAGGACTCAACAAATAAAGGTAAGTTTCCACTATACCCCCACTGGTGAAGGTATTGTAGGATCCCCAATCTCCACGTCATGTCGTAGGCCTTCTCTATGTCAAAGAAGGCGGCTGTCAGGTGGTGTCTTTTAGCAAAGGCTGCCTGAATATTCTGTTCTAGATATATCATATTATCAAGAGCTGACCACCGACACGAAATCCCGACTGGTAATGTGAAACATGATTGTTGCTTTCGAGACACCAGACAAGTCGCCTGTTAACCATAGATTCTAAAAGTTTACTAAGACATGACGTGAGGCTTATTGGTCTGTACGATCCAGGTAAGGATGGGTCCTTACCTTCTTTTAATAGAGGAAGAACTGAAGCTTCCCTCCGCTGAAATGGGTATAAGTTTTTGGACTAGATTTTATTAAAAGCTTTTAAAATATAATTTTTGAATTCTGCATCTACCTGGAAACAGAAATAGTACAGCACGTTGTCTGGTCCAGGACAGCTTTTTTTTATTCTGGCCAAAGCTACATCAAGCTCTTCCATAGTAAATGGTACGTTATAATTTAAATTTTCGCGAGTAAAGAAATTTGGTTCTTCAATTTCCCTTTGTTCCAGGAAGTTAGGATCACAGTTTATTGAACTGCTGACACTATGAAAGTGATCTGCAAGCCTTTCCACGATAATTTCCCTGTCGTTAATAGTGGCACCATCCTCTTTTAAATATAGTACACTAATAGCTTGCTTGTACTTAGACATTTTTTGTTTTTTTTTCCATACAAGAAAAATAGGAGTTTCGGGGTTTTAAAATCGTACGTCTGGCTTTGGCTCTTGCACGTTTAAAACTAATCATGCTTTTAAGAGTTTTATGTTTATTGAAAAAATTAAACTCTTTATTGCATTCTTGACTTATTCGTTCCACCAGGGGACCTTCTGAGACTGGGACTCCTTGCATCGCTGCCTCCAAGAGACGGTCCGTTAAAATTGCGATCTCATCGTTTACTGGTGTATCTTCCAGATACATTGGGGTAAAAAGATTGGCTCTAAATACATCCCAGTTGGCCTGATCAGTTTTCCATTTAGTGGGAATAAAATGTCGAGTACATTCCACATTAAACTCCATTTTTATTGGAAAGTAATCGTTATCGTAAAGACTTTCTAAGGTCTTCGATTTAAGATGAGGTGCCATTGAGGCAGTACACATTGAAAGGTCAATTTGGGAAAAACTGTTGGAACGCGCATTTAAATAAGTAGGTTGGCCATTATTTAAAAGTATTATATTTGAATGAACTAAAAAGTTTTCTACTAGGCGTCTCGAGCATCTGTGGTTTCAGAGCCCTATAAAGGATTATGGGCGTTAAAATCGCCCACAAGAAGACATGGTGGAGGAAGCTGAGAAGCAAGATTTTCTAGGTCCATGAGTGTCCAGTTAAAACGTGGTAAGTATATATTACAAACGTAAAACAACCGTGGAAAATTAATCTTAATGGCTACCGCTTGTAACGTTGTGTTAATGGGGACTGTCTGCTTTTATATTTTTCATGATACCTATGGCAACTCCACCATTCGCTCGTTGATTTACCTCGCCTAATAAACTCGTAATTCTTTAGGGAATATGGTTGACCAGGTTTCAGATGTGTTTCCTGTAGGGAAATGCATAGGGGATCATATTTATTTATTAGGAGTTTTAAATGGCAATATCTTGTAGTATTGCATTACAATTTGATTGAACCATCTTTTCATAGATAATGTTTTGAAAGTGTATTGTAAAGAAAATAATTAAAATATTTCAATAAATAAGTGTGTAAGTCGTAGTACAAACAGGTGGGTAAATAAATAAAAATATGTTCAGGTAAGTATAAAATAGGATATAAGTAAAAATAAAATAAATGTATAAATATCACACTTAGTTATCACAGGTTAATATCAGGAATTGTTATCACAATATTAGTTTTGTGATCTGTTACGGGGGGAAAGGAGGGAGAGGGCATCAGAATTTAGAATGGATGATTCAGAGTCTGACCCTGTTTTGGACGCTTTGCGTTTTTCGGCAACCGAATCATTGTTGGATTATGAATCATACTGCACACCATGTCGAGATATAGTTTTTTGGACGGTAGGGCAAATGTTTTTGATTGCGGTCCTGAAATGCCAGCCCCGCCTGAAATAATTGAAGTAACAACCTTTTTTATTTCAGGAATTAAGGCTTTTATAATGTTCTCTATTTTGAGGTTACAGGCCGCTGGCGCAGTGGTTTTGACAACATCCGAGAAGTTTTTAGGTAAGCTATATTTTTTGACATACTGTATCGATGATTAGCCTCAAAATAAGTTACTTTGTCTAAAGTTTAATTTTTTGTATTGCAGCGTCTTCCTGATAAACCGGGCAAGACCTGGACCTCGCCGGATGGCCTCCGCACATTTATCGGTAATGTGGCCAAACTTTGAAATTTAAAACATCTTAACGGGTTAGGGATATATGGTCTTACCTCCAATCTATGGAATGCAGCATTTATTTTCTTTGGAAGGACAGGTGAGTTAAATGTTAAAATAAGGTTTGGAGTATCTTGCCATCTTTTTTTGTTTGGATTCGACATCTGTTACTCCCTCAACGAGCAGATGCTGCTTTAGTTCTTCCACACAGCAATTTAGTAGGTCACTACAGTATATGACACCTTTGGATTGGATTTGTTGGGTGGAGGGTAGCCACATTGTGGCTACATGCACTTAGGCCACAGTTGGCCCTTTGTACTGCCCCCGAGATCCATTTCCCCATTTGTGTTTGCTCAAAATTTTTTTTTTTAATCCAGCCATCCGAGTTTCCGAAAGAAATCTAGAAAGACGGCTGGAGAGATGGAGCTAATGTTGGTTGCATCAACCCATTCTTCTCCTAAAGTGGATTTTCTGAATTCGAGAAGAGCAGGACATTCACAAATAATGTGTATTACATTCTCTTCGCCCCAGTTACAGGCTCTGCAAAGAGGACTGTCTACTTTTCTTATCGTATGAAGATGTTTGTTTAGTCTACAGTGTCCCGTTATAATTCCGACAAGGTCGGAGAGGTTTTGACGAGATAGCTGTAGACTGTACCTGGCCAGCTTGTCAGATGGATTAGTGATAATATTTTTGGTCTGACGACATGAGCTTAGATTAACCCATCTTCTTAGTTGTTTTTCATGGGTTAGTTTTTTTATCTGGACTTTTAAGGTTGAGTTCGTAAGTGGCAGGACAGGTTCAGGGCCCACTGGCAGCTTTTCCGATCCCTGTCTTGCCAGTTCATCAGCCTTTTCATTTCCTTCATTACCATTATGTCCTTTAACCCATACTAGTTCTAGGACATTATTAATCGTTATCAGCTTCAAAGCAGCAATGCATTCCGCTACCAGTCCCGAGTCAACTATATTGTGACTCAAGGCCAGCAAGGAGGCCCTGCTATCTGAGGAGATTCTTATTGTTTTTCCATGTATTTGGAGCTCTATTACTTTACGAGCAGCCTCCAGTATGCCTGTGATTTCACACTGGAATATGGTCGCATAGACACCCAATGATATACTGAGGCGTATGGATGGGTTCTGACAATATACTCCAGCTCCAGAGCCTGAGTCGGTTCTGGATCCATCTGTAAAGATAGAAAGATCAGGCGAGGTATTTGGGTGTCCATTTATCCACACCTGATAGGGAGTATTAAAATTATAGCTCCGCACAATCTGGTCGCGCACTGCACTCAGAATAGGTGTCTGTCGGACATTCTTTTCCAGGATGCAGGTGTGACGTTTGCTAGAGATATTTTCTTTCCACATTTTAGTGGTCGAAAGCCTCAGAGATGATCTCAGTGCATCCTCCTCTACGAACAGATCCAAAGAGGGGATGTTCAGGATTGCTTCCATGGCTTCGGTTGGAGTTGTGCGCATGCTGCCTGTAACAGCTAGACATGCAAGCCGTTGCACATGCTCTATTTGTTTTGCTGCAGTAGTTTGTTTGATTTTGGGCCACCAAACGACAGATCCATAGCACAACATTGGTCGAATGACTGCCGTATATAACCAGAGAACTATCTTTGGGGATAGTCCCCACGTCCTTCCGACAGTCCTTCTACACTGCCAGAAGGCCACTGAGGCCTTCCGAATTTTGTGCTTTAGATGACTACTCCAGTTAAGTTTGCTGTCTAGAATTATTCCCAAGTACTTGACTTGGTTTGTTAGTTCCAGACAGGTTCCAAATAACTTAGGCATTTTGAGGAAGCCAAGTTTTCTTTTTCTGGTAAATAGAATTAATTCCGTCTTTGCAGGATTTACAGAGAGGAAATTCCTATTACACCAGTTTTCAAGTATGTTTAGAGCTGTTTGCATTAGATCGCAAAGGGTGCTCTCAATTTTCCCCGTTAGCGTGATAGTGATGTCATCTGCGTAGCCAAAGGTGGTAAAACCATTGTTGTTGAGAGACTCTAGAAGATTGTCAACAACTAAGTTCCATAGAAGTGGCGAGAGTACTCCCCCTTGAGGGCAACCTTTGATTACCACTCCTTTGGTTGAGTCTCCATCGCCTACACTGACAGCTCTACATTGTAGCATATGTCCAATCCAAGTGCAGAGCATAGGATGAACACCGTGCTTTCTCAGAGCTGCTTCTATGGATTTAAAGGATATGACACCTTTACTCTAGTTTAATGTTTGATGGGTTTTGACCACCACATCAAGTTCACCAAAACGCACCAAACCTTGTAATCTTTTAGCTTGCTTATCATTTTTTGCTTCCACTAATAGACCATCTTTAATTTTTTTATTAGACATACCTCTCCAACTAGACCAACAAAGTTTTTGAAATAGCAAAGGGACTTTCCTTTAAAAAGTCTCCTTCACGTTTAGAAATTATCAAGAACCGGGGAATAACCTTCTTTTCATTGACAAAATGTTACCTGGGTTTTGGTTTGAAGATTTATGCGCATCTTCTAGACCATTTTTATTTGTTTTCAAGGTATCCTTTTTGCCCATAAAGTTTGTTCGCCAGCCCATCGTGCGCCTAGGGGCGGGCCGAAGTAGCCAAACAACAGGTATACCCTCATCTTCTTCTTGAAAACTTACCCCAGTTCCCTAGGGCCCAGCCTTCGTTTTCCCCATCCCGGTAAACTCGGACGGATAGGGGCTCGCCCGAAGCAACGCAGAATCCGACTTCCACATTCAATGCGCACTTCCTGATTAGGGACCGAAGTGGCTGGTCTCGGACCTACGCTGCAACGTGCACCTCGGCAGAGCAAGCTCACATCAACCTTTTCCGGAAAAATGGTACTTGGTACTCCCAGTGGGTTACAGTGCAGGACAATCTCACGTTATTATTATTATTATTATACCGTATCTTCAATTTTCATGTATACAGTAGGCGTGCCTCGCTGCATTCGTTTTTGAGTAGTGGGTGTAAGAGTGGGAGACGCTTTAAAATAACGAGGACCGACAATCAGTCACACTGTCGCCGGCTCAGGGTTATGTTGAAGTTGGCTCCGCCTCCCCTCCCTAGATATTTTACAGCGGCGCAGAGTCTCCGCTACTGTAAAACATTTAGGGAGGGGAGGCGCCGCGGCGCCGTTCAAGTTTGGTTTTACTCGTGCTGTATACTTTTAAAATGAAGATACGGTATAAGCACTATGTGTATTTTAATATCAATAAAGTATTATATTATTGTATTATATATATACATATATACATATATATATATATATATACATATATATATATATATATATTGCGATTAGTCCAAAATCGGGCTTTTTTAATCTGAAATATGTCAAAACTTAAAATCTAACATTTTCAGAAAACATTTTTTTCATTTTGTTGTAATAAGTAATTTAAATTTCAATGAAATTATTTCATCAGTAGCACTTTATTAGTTTTTTTTATTTTCTTATATACAAAATATTAATAAAATATAATAATAACATAACTATTATAACACAGTGCATCAATTTGGGGGCTTTGAAAAATGGACGCAATTTTGCATAGCACATTCGAAAGTATACATTAAGATAAGAAAAACCCTAGCTCTGTTTTGCGATATTAGCTCGCATTTTTATTTTA